CAACGTGCTGCTGGACGCGCGCATGCACGCCAAGCTCGCTGACTTTGGGCTGGTGCGACTTGGGGAAGGTACATCTGTGGCCGCTACCCGAGTCATGGGCACGCCGGGCTATGTGGACCCCGCTTACTACCGCTCCCACAAGGCCACTCCCAAGGCCGACGTGCACAGGTGCGGGTGATATGTTACTCACGTGCACTAGTTTTCATGCATGGCTTTTTGAAAATGCTCCCATACCAACACCAGCCTGAATCTTGCTACTCTGACATTCTTCTTCCCTTCCCTGCTGCCATCCTTGCGCTCTTACCTTGTTGCCTGCCTTGCTCTCTTACCTTGTTGCCTGCCTTGCTCTCTTACCTTGTTGCCTGCCTTGCTCACTTACCTTGTTGCCTGCCTTGCTCTCTTAACTTGTTGCCTGCCTTGCTCTCTTACCTTGTTGCCTGCCTTGCTCTCGTACCTTGTTGCCTGCCTTGCTCTCGTACCTTGTTGCCTGCCTTGCTCTCTTGCCTTGTTGCCTGTGTTGCTCTCTTGCCTTGTTGCCTGCCTTGCGCTCTTACCTTGTTGCCTGCCTTGCTATCTTACCTTGTTGCCTGCCTTGCTCTCTTACCTTGTTGCCTGCCTTTCCTTCCTCCCTTGCTCCCTTTCTGCCCCCCTCATGTCTGCAGCTTTGGAGTGGTGATGCTGGCGGTGATCACGGCTCGCAAGGCCATCTACAACATCGAGTCAAACCAAGTCAACCTCAAGCAGTGGGTCTGTCTCACACCAAAACCCATTGCTTCTTCTCGAATACCTATCCTCCTTTTCATGACGTCTGTTTGCACATCCATTCTTTCTTGCCAAAAATCCTCACTCTCCCTTCCTCTCCTCTGCCTCTTCCCTCCCCTGCTCCCTTACTTCCTCCGATTGATCCACTCACAGGCAGCAGCCCTAGTGGCAGCAGGGGACGTGGCGGCCCTCAAGGACCCGCACCTGCAAGCACCGGACGACCTGGTGCTGCGCATGGCACGCCTGGCACTCACCTGCACCGCCATGCCCACGGCGTCTCGCCCGGGCATGAGCCGTGTGCTGGCAGAGCTGCTGCTGCTCAAGGAGGAGTTTTTCGGGGAGGACGAGGACCGCATGGCTGTTAGGATTGACCACGAGATCGAGAGCTCCGAGCAGGTCGACTTCAGCTTGGAGCTGGCTCGTATTGAAGGCAATCAACATGGTAGTTAGTGCCGTAAAGGGAAAAGCAGAAAGTTGCCTGCAAGTACATAAGGGAGGAGGAAGGAGAGTTGGGAAGAGACTGGAATGGAGAAGAGTGTTGTTCATTTTCAATGACCAAAGCCCCTCAATAGGTGTCTCCAGGCAGGTCTTGGCATTTGCAGACATTTCAAATGTAGAAAGCAGATCAATAAACGTCACTCGTTTTCACAACAAACATGCAGTTTTGCATAGTGAAAGATAACGTTAATAAAGTTAAGGGCCTCTAGTTTTCTTGGCACACCTGAAGATGTTAACTTTTTTTTTATGACGTGTTTCGGGTGCGTGTAGTGTACCAATCTTATTTGACTGAAATTTGAAAAGGATGACAGTGGAACAGCAAAATACTCGCGGAATGAGCAATTTCTTCTACCATCTCATCGGATCACCCTATAGGGCTGATAAAGCCTCAACCCTGTGAAAAGAAGCTAAGCACAGGTGGGCTTAGGAGCCATAGTTTAGGAGAGAGTTCGAGTTTAGTTCGAGTGAGTTTAGGAAAGTCGAGAGGAATGGGGTTTCACTATTGAGAATGGCAAGTACAAATAGGTAAACAGCAACATAAGGAGGTGCACCACCAAACATGATGCAATATCTACACTACAATTGCAAACGATTATATAAAATATGTAAACATATTTTGACACGCCCCCATAATTGATTGCAGGAGTAAGTGTAAAACGCCCACTCTGGTAAGTGTAAACCGCCCACGCTGGTCACCCACTCCATCCCCTCACCCTCCCCCTCCCCCTCCCCTTCCCCCTCTCCCACACACTGCTGCAGGAGCAGCAGAGGGGGGGAATAGAGGAGAGGTGGAGGGACGGCGGCTGGGTGGTCTCACACCCGCCACCCCAGTGCCACTCCCCGGGCTCCCCCACACCCTCACACCCTCCCCCCCAGCGGCAGCTGCAGCAGAGGGAACAAAAGGAGGAGGAGAGAGGGGGGGGGGGGGGGGGGGGGGGCGACGCACGGCCTCCCCGGGCGCCAAAGCAGGCGGCAGAGGGGGCGACGCCTGCCCCCCCTTTCCAGGTCGCCGCGGCCCCCGAAGAAGCCGCGACGGGTGACGGGAAAAGGGGGGGGGGGGGGGGGGTCCACGTGCCCCCGGTGTGCCGAGGCTGGCGACAGGGCATGGCCGGGGCGAGGTCGGGGCCGCAAGTGGGCGAGGCCGCAGGTGGCATCGGGGCCATAGGGGGGGACGGGGCCGCAGGTGGCGACGGGGCCGTGGTGGGCGACGGGGCCGCAAGGGTGGGCGGGGCCGCAGGTGGCGACGGGGCCGAAGGTGGCGGGGCCGCAGGTGGCGACAGGGCCGCAGCGGGCGACGGGGCCACAGGTGGCGACGGGGCCGTGGTGGGCGACGGGGCCGTAGCCAAGGGCGGCGGGGCCGCAGCGAAGGGCGGCGAGGCCGCAGCGAAGGGCGGCGGGCCGCAGCGAGGGGCGGCGGGGCCGCAGCGAAGGGTGGCGGGGCCGCAGCGAAGGGCGGCGGGGCCGCAGCAAAGGGTGGCGGGGCCGCAGCGAAGGGCGGCGGGGCCGCAGTGAAGAGCGGCGGGGCCGCAGCAAAGGGCGGCGGGGCCGCAGTGACAGGCGGCAGGGCCGCAGCGAAGGGCGGCGAGGCAGCAGTGAAGGGCGGCGGGGCCGCAGCGAGGGGCGGCGGGGCCGCAGCGAAGGGCGGCGGGGCCGCAGCAAAGGGTGGCGGGGCCGCAGCGAAGGGCGGCGGGGCCGTAGTGAAGAGCGGCGGGGCCGCAGCAAAGGGCGGCGGGGCCGCAGTGACAGGCGGCAGGGCCGCAGCGAAGGGCGGCGGGGCCGCGGCGAAGGGCGACGGGGCCGCAGCGAAGGGCGGCGGGAGGGCCGCGAAGGGGCCGCGAGGGGTCTGAAAGGGCGGCAACGGGGCCGTTAAGAAAAAGGATAAGGGGGCACGCCACGGGGCGTGCCGAACATAGAGTAGCAGCGGAAGCTTTAGGGTGGGCCCACAGGTCAGAACCTTGGTCACTCTGATAACATGTGAAAAGAAGCTAAGCACAGGTGGGCTTAGGAGCCATAGTTTAGGAGAGAGTTCGAGTTTAGTTCGAGTGAGTTTAGGAAAGTCCAGAGGAATGGGGTTTCACTATTGAGAATGGCAAGTACAAATAGGTAAACAGCAACATAAGGAGGTGCACCACCAAACATGATGCAATATCTACACTACAACTGCAAACGATTATATAAAATATGTAAACATATTTTGACAAACCCATCCACCCCGAAAAGCTGGCTGGGCTTTTATTCACTGCCTGCACACCACGATGCCCTTGTGGCTGCATTATTTGCACGCATTGGAGTGCGCCGCACCACCTCGTTACAGTTCGTCACGTTATCAGCAGCAACCGTTGAACCCATATACCCATCTCGCAACGACTTGGCCTAGAAGTTGGTGCCACTCTCGTAGGTCGTCCCGGCGCTCCATCCGCTCGGAATCACGTCTTGCAACACCACCTGCTACCCGCTGCCGGTCACGCGCACGCTCACGGGGCGCCCCGCATCGACGACGTCCTTGGCGGGATTGAGCACCCACGTGGCGCCCCATCCGTACGTCGTCATGCTCGTCCACTGCGACCCGTCGTTCGACAGCTCCACGTTCTCCACACCCCCGCTCCCCGCCGCGCCGAGAATCTGAAGCGCGAAGTTGTACGAGTTGCTATCGTCGACCAATCTGACCTTCAGGCCGCCGTTGCTAGGGCAGTCCACGCTACGGTAATCGATCTCCACGCGCCCCGCGGCCCGGTCGCCGACGATTCTGTACCACGCGGCGAAGTTGAGGTTGAAGTCGCCGTTTTGGCCGACCGCTCGCACCAGCACGCTGCCCTCCAAGCAGCTCGGGTGGTTCATGCAGGAGACTTCATAGCACCTTCCGCAGCCCTTTCCGCTGTTGAAATCGCCCGAAGGCACCTGCTCTACCATGCCGTAGTCGAAATCCGAACTCTCGCCGTAGTTGAATTGGCCGCGGTAGCACGTGCCCTCGCGGTTCAGATCAGCGGACGTGGCGTACATGGCATCGGCAGGGGCGAGGGCGAGAGCAAGCAGAACGATTACCACGCACAGTAAGACGCCGACCTTGGAAACTCGAGCCATCGAGGAAAAGGAGTAGAGGGGAAGATCCGCTGAGAGCTTGCGAGAGCTTGCTGATGTGAAGACACCTCGGGGTCGAATATCGGACGCACTGGGCACTGGGGGCAATAATCGATATGATGATAGTGGAGGAAGAAATTTATATGGTTGCGTCAGTCGGGGAGAATCGGAACTTGGAAACTGTGGGTTCGTTGCACGAACTGCTCGGCACGAGTCGGCCGCATGGATGTCCTCCCTTCTGCTTCAGAATAACAATAATTTCGTCCTCGTCGCAGACTGACTGCTTTGCGATGCCGACGAAAACGACTGTAGTTCTTTCGCGAAGGCGATAGCCTCTACGATAATTGTTTTGGGGAGCGGCGTCATTCCGTTCCGTCATTCTCGGGGATTTGCTCCAAGGAAAGCAATGTCGTTGAATGAGTTTCGGGTACAGTGAGCCGGGAATAATTGTCTAGAATTCTCGAGGCAGAGGGTCTAGGCGGAATTCTAGGCGGGGCGAGAGGCTTCATGATTATTGTATTTGCTGGTCTTCAGGGTCGTGGCTGGTAACTCAGCTCATTTGACGAACCACACCGAAGCGTTTCGCGGGTGGTTACACAAAGATTTGGTTTGTGCTCCTCGCTGTTTTAGCATTTCGCAATCCCACTCTTTTCAGCAGATAAATGCAGCGAGAACATATTACGAGGCGCGTTTCCCTACTCTGTCTAACTCTACGAAGCTCGTTTTAGGGTTTGGTTTGGTGGCAACCTTGTTGCTTGGGTGTAACATTGCAAGATTAGTTATCTTAGCATCTCCCTCGACTTCTCTTCTTGCGATTTAGAGATTATGCTTCAGCGGATGATTTTTTTGATGATGGTAAAGACGTCCCCCGTTCACCACGCTTCTCCCACCGAGTCGCTCCTTAGTAGGACACCTTCTCCCATCCAGTACCAGTGAAGCGACCCGCAGCTGCTACTAGCAGTAGGAGCGAGTCTTTCAAAAACGACAACGTGGCGCTATTGGAAGGGTGGCCACGTCATCCAGCGGATCTAGGGTTAGGCGAAAGCCTCCGACCTATCGCGTTCGAGACACGGATCGCGCCGACGTGGGATCGACACGGCCTTTCGAGCCTCGTTGCGCTCTCGACAATGAAAGCGTACTGACTCGAAGCATGTTGTTACATTATATATATATAACTATATATTTTTCTGTTTCCTCATAAACATGCATTTTCCTACACTGACGAGAATCCGAATGGGCAGGGGGGTTGCACGTAGGGTCGAACCCCCCACGACGCGTTTGTGAGCATGAGGACAGGTGTGGGGGAATAATGCGGGCAGGGGGTTGGAGATAATGAGGACAGGGGGGTGGGGGATGTTGTGGGCGAGGGGGTGGGGGATGATGAGGGCATGGGGGTGGGGGATGATGAGGGCATGAGGGTGGGGGATGATGAGGGCATGGGGGTGGGGGATGATGAGGGCGGGGGAGTGGGGGATGATGAGGGCGGGGGGTGGGGGATGATGAGGGCGGGGGGTGGGGGATGATGAGGGCGGGGATGTGGGTGGCAAGGCGGGGGGGATGGCAGTGTCAACATGAGCACGGGCGTCCATACTCGCTCTGTGTGTGGGGTGTGGGCTTGGATTCGGCAATGCGTGTGGGTGTGGCAGAACAGAGGTGCACGCGACTTCCGCACACAGGGACCACGAGGTTTGGGGTCCGTGTTTGTGTGCTGACGAGTGTCGGCACCCTATGAATGAGAAAAGCAACCCACAGGCTTGTTCGAGTGCTTTCCCCCCTTCCTCTCCCATCCCTCTCTCTCCGCGAAGTAGTGGCGGCAGGGGGGTGAGTGGGAGATGTGACTCACACTATCGTCCGCACACCATGCGACGCACACCATGATGCGACGCACACCATGATGCGACGCACACCATGATGCGACGCACACCATGATGCGACACACACCATGATGCGACACACACCATAATGCGACACACACCATGATGCGACACACACCATGTGTGTGGCTTGAACATGCACTTCTCTGCATCCCTCTGCACCTGTCTGGACCAACCAGGTGGACCTCATGACCTCGTGCGCCTGGGCATCTGTAGAGCGCTGGTGGTGCACTCCTACGGGCTCGATGAGATCTCCCTCATGGGTCAGTCAGTCCACCCCATGGGTCAGTCCGCCTCACTCGAACCGCCACCCCCTATCCCTCCCCTGTTCCACTCCCCCGCCTGTCCCTCTCCCCTTTTGTCCCTCTCCCCTTTTGTCCCTCTCCCCTTTTGTCCCTCTCCCCCTTTTGTCCCTCTCCCCCTTTGTCCCTCTCCCTCGCCTGTCCCTCTCTGCCCCTCGTCCCTCTTTCCCCTTTGTCCCTCTTCTCATCCTGTCCCTTTCCCCCCCCTGTCCCTATTCCCCCTCCTATCGCTCTCCCTCATTGTCTCTCGCTTTCCCCCTGTTCCTTTTTTCCCCTTGTCCCTCACCCCCCTCTCCCCTCTTGTCCCTCTCCTCCACTGTCCCTCTCCCCCCTTGTTCCACGTCTCACTATGTCCCTCTCTCCCTGCCTCTCTCACAAGCCCTACAGACGTGCTTGAGCCACTGACCTTCTGCTCTCGTTTCCCTCGCTCTCACATCCGCCACCTCTCGCTCTTTCCTCTCTCCTCACTCCTTGCGTCCCTCAATAGATTACCTCAGACGCTCCTCCCATTCGAACCCAGGGTGTGAGCTCATGTCTAGCAGCACGTTCAGCACCCAGCAATCTCACACGAACGGTAAGGCCCAATCCACAGCATGTTCTCATGTTCCCTCAGTAATGCTTCTCCTCCTTTCGCCTCTCCTGTGTCTACCTGCAGGTGCGGGAACAGGGCTGGCAGCGTGTGGGGTGGCTAGGGATGTGGGCGAGGGCATAGCCATGGCCCAGGAGGAGGCTCAGCGCAGCGGCAAGGCCCTACATGAATATATATATATATATATACACCCAGCCCAGAATATTAGCAAGAACCATGCTCCGTTCCCGAGCAGCACTTCTTTGCGATGATATAATTAAAAATGCTAATCAACTACAAAGGCTTCAAGTCTTTATGCTGATAAACCAGCAGTTGTGCAACAGCTGTAACGCTCATCATTTTTATGGTGGTAGTTATATTTAGAAAGCTTGCTTTCTTATACTGATCATTTGGCATCGTTCTCATTTCAACTGGCAAATTACAACATGCACTTCGAGCTAGACAAAATAGATGCTAGTACATGACCTAAGACTACCTACCATAGCATTGTACTAGCTATCCCGCATTATGCGTGCGTACTACCAATCATAGGACTAACTGTCTATCCTCCTATTCCAGCGGCGTCACGGATGTCCTCGGTGTCGGGGTGGGGGGTGGGAGAGTTGCATGAGCCGTTGGAAAATGAGAGACGTGGGTGGAGGGAAATGAGCTCCAACCCACGATTTGTAGTTGGAGAAGGGCGTTTAGCGCGCTTCGACGATGCCAAATCAGCGTTACAAGCACCTGCGCTTTCGAAATACTTAATTTTAAAAAACACTTCGTGTGTTTAAAAATTATCATTTTCATGAATCAGCCCTGCAATACTGTAAGGAATTTTCTCGATATTCCTTAGCGCACCCTGCAACACCGCGTACAGCAGCAGCCGTTGTTCGCCCGTTACTGCTAACGGGGCTTCGCCCACTTCGCGCGCACCATTTTACCAAACCTCGCACCGTTGGACCGGCCGTGCTGGCTTACGCTTCGGGACTAGCCCGAGCCTCGCTTCCAACGTAGCACTAGCTAGCTCGCCCGCACCGCGTTACCGTTTGTATGTTTTGCTGCGATCATAAATAGATCGTAGCCAGGATCACCTCAGGAAAGGTTCGCACGCTTCTAGTCTAGAGGTGGTGGGCCCTTGACCTCAATAGCATAGTGAATGTAAAATGCTTGAGATAATAAAACATGCAAATACAACGATATAAATAAGAGTACAGGGGAATACGAATCGACCTAGCTAGCCATGTACTCTAAGGGGTACATTCCCTCATTTAAATTCTTTCCCAACCGTGCGGTGCGTACAGTTACAAAACTATTCCCGCAAGAATCCTTCTGCCTTCAGCTGCCCGATTGTCAGAACATATATAGCTTATGCTGTTGTGTAGGCTATAGTGGGGTATCCCATAGGGGGTACAACCCAATTAGGGTTTGCTATTTGTACTCACTTCACTCATAGTTCATTCATTCCTCGTTCAGTTGTTCTCATGGTATCGAGCAGGTTCCCCTGTGGGAACTGCGCCTAGGGCCCACCACTCGAAATTATTTTTTCTCTGCCCGAAGCGCTCTCATCCCGAGTCGCGCCTCGGGCCACTCTTTCACCGAGCCGCCCTGGCGGCCGGCCTTACCCTAGCGGCCCCGCTGCCCCGTGAACGCGGCCCCGCCGCCTCTTCTCTCGCGGCCTCGCCGCCCTTGCTCACGCGGCCCCGCCGCTCCTGATCGTGCGGCCCCGCCGCCTCTCCTCGTGCGGCCCCGCCGCTCCCTGATCACGGCCTCGCCGCCCCTGCTCCAGCAGCCCCGCCGCCCCTTCTCTTGCGGCCTCGCCGCCCCTGCTCGCGGCCTCGCCGCCTCTGATCTCGCGGCCCCGCCGCCCCTTATCTCGCGGCCCCGCCGCCCCTGAGCTCACGGCCGCGCCGCCCCTGCTTCTGCGGCCCCGTCGCCCCTGCTCCAGCGGCCCCGCCGCCCCTGATCTTGCGGCCCTGCCGCCCCTGAACTCGCGGCCCCGCCGCCCCAGCGCTACCGGCCCCGCCGCCCCTGCATCGCGGCCCCGCCGCCCCAGCGCTCACGGCCCCGCCGCCCCTGCATCGCGGCCCCGCCGCCCCAGCGCTCACGGCCCCGCCGCCCCTGCATTGCGGCCTCGCCACCCCTGCATTGCGGCCCCGCCGCCCCTGATCTAGCGGCCTCGCCGCCCCAGCGCTCCCGGCCCCGCCGCACCTGATCTTACGGCCCCGCCGTCCCTGATCTCGCGGCCCTGCCGCCCCAGCAACTGCAACAGCCAAGCCGCTCAACTGCAGCAGCCGAGCCGCCCCGTTGCCGAGCCGCCCAGCAGCAGCCTAGCCGCCCAGCAGCAGCCGAGCCGCCCAGCAGCAGCCGAGCCGCCCAGCAGCAGCCGAGCCGTCTGGGAGCAGCCGAGCCGCTCCGCAGCAGCCGGACCGCCCGACCTGCCCTTTCTGGTGAGCACGGCACTGCCCCACTGCTACTGCGTGCCCTTCCCCACTGCTTGCACTGCTAGTCTGTCGCCGTCATGGCTACCCCCAGTGTCCTCACTTTTGACGCTGAGGGTCGAGCCATTGAGTTTGAGGTCTGGGTCGACGACCTGCAGTTGTTTTTACAGTGCGATAGGGCGGACGGTCTCTCTCTCTTTGACCTCACCTCTGGCGCCTCTCCTGCCCCTGCTGTTGATGCTGACCCCACTGTTCGCTCTCAGTGGGCCACCCGCGATGCTGCTGCACGTCTTGCTGTGCGTCGCCACCTGCCTACCACTGAGCGCGCGCACATTAGTCAGTACAAGAGTGCTCAGACCTTGTACGACGCTGTAGTTGCGCGCTACTCTTCCCCTGCCACTGCTGCACTGAGCCGTCTCATGCTTCCGTACCTCTTTCCTGACCTCACTGCCTTTCCCACTGTCGCTGACCTCATTACGCACCTCCGCACTAGTGATACTCGCTACCGCGCCGCCCTCCCTGCTGAGTTCTGCGCCAAGAACCCCCCCCCTATGTACATCACTCTCTACTACGTAGTAGCGCGCCTCCCTGACTCCCTTCGCGTAGTCAGGGACCACTTTCTCTCAGTCTGTCCCACCACCCTCACTGTCGACCTCCTCGAGAAGGCCCTCCTAGCGGCGGAGAAGAGCATCGTCGCTCTAGGAGCTTCTCGGGGTGACCCTCGCACCCCCATCTTTGACGGGTGCTCTCCTTCCCCCCTGCGGCCCTCTGTTGCCTCTGCTGCTGCTGCCGACCTGCTTGGTCTTGAGTCGGTCGGCGCGGCGTCTGCCCCTAGTGGGAGACGCCGCTCTGGCAAGGGCAAGGGGGGCAAGGGCGCGGGTGGAGCTGGAGGGGGCGGTGGAGGTGGCGGTGGAGGCGGCGGAGGGAGTGGGGGTGGCGGCGGGAGTGGTGGCGGGGGTGGTGGTGGTGGTGGCAGCGGCGGAGGAGGCGGCGGTGGTGGCGGCAGCGGTGGAGGTGGAGGCGGCGGAGGAGGCGGAGGAGGAGGCGGTGGTGGAGGAGGGGGTGGAGCTGGTCGAGGTGGTACCCCGCAGCGGAGCGGCTCTGGTAGTGGTCAGCGCCAACAGCAGCAGCAGCAGCGTTCGCGGGACATCCCTCCGCCCCAGCAGCTCCGTGAGTGGTACACGCAGCGTCAGCGGGGTGGGGGTACTGGTCCGTGCACCTACGTCCTTCGGTCCGGCGACCGCGCGGGTGAGCAGTGTGGGGGTGCCCACCCCACCCAGCGCTGCTTTGGCCGCCTAACGGACGCTTGGCGTCAGCAGTTCCCCGAGGCTAGTGAGATCCCCCGCTGGGGAGAGCTGTCTAGGGCTGGTGTAGCTATCTTTGATCTTGACTTTGATGCTATCCTTGCTGCTATGTATGCTGTGACTATTAGTGAGGAGGGTGACTGTTACCGGTGTTTCCCGCCCGACCCGGGCATTGGTACTGCTGCGCTAGGTGCCTGTGAGACTGCTGCTCTAGGTGCCAGTGCGTTTGCGCTCTCAGGTACTGGAGAGGCTGCGCTCTCAGGTACTGGTGAGGCTGCGCTCTCAGGTACTGCGTCGGCTTCGGCCTCCCTCACTTTCACACTTGACTCCGAAGCTTCTCGCTCCTTCTTTCGAGACTGTACCACACTCACGCCGCTTGGTCGGCCGGTTGCAGTCTCCCTGGCTGACCCCTCTGGGGGTCCTGTCCTCTCTCACTTTTCCACTGTCCTCCCGTGTCCGGCTGCCCCCTCGGGCACCCTGTCTGGTCTGTACCTTCCCTCGTTCTCGACAAACTTGGTGAGTGGTGCGGACCTGCAGGATGCGGGGGTTCACCAGTTCACTCCTGCGAGTCAGCGGGTGACCCACTGCACGGACGCACGCACAGGCCGGCACCTGGCCACTTTCTCTCGTCGGCCGGGGTCGAGCCTCTACACCCTGACCACTGAGTCTCCTCCTGTCCCTGCGTCTGGTCAGGTAGCTGCGTCAGGTCAGGTGTTTGCTGCTGCGTCCCGGTCTGGCCCTGAGTCTGCCCCCTGTTCGTGTCGCCTCCTGTCTCACGAGACTCTCCTCTGGCACCACCGTCTTGGCCACCCCTCCTTGCCCCGTCTTCGGGGCATGGCTTCCCGTGTCCTTGTCTCTGGTCTTCCCCAGTCTCTCCCTCCCCTTCCTTCGGGACCAGGACCTTCCTGTGTCCCCTGTGTCGAGGGGCGCCTCAGGGCTGCTCCTCACTCCTCCCAGTTTCCCCCGACAGAGGCTCCTCTGCAGACACTTCACATGGACGTGTGGGGCCCGGCCCCCGTCCGTGGGCAGGGTCACGAGCGCTACTTCCTGTTGGTGGTTGACGACTACTCGCGTTACACCACAGTCTTCCCCTTGCGCAGCAAGGGTGCTGTCACTGAGGTGCTGATCGACTGGATCCGCGAGGCTCGTCTCCAGCTCAGGAGGAGCTTCGGCTCGGACTTTCCTGTTCTGCGTCTGCACTCTGACCGAGGTGGGGAGTTCTCCTCTCGCCTCCTGCGAGACTACTGTCGTGCACGGGGGATCCGCCAGACCTTTACGCTTCCGGACTCTCCACAGCAAAATGGGATTGCTGAGCGCCGCATTGGCATGGTCATGGATGTCGCTCGTACGTCCATGATGCATGCGGCTGCCCCCCATTTTCT